AAAAGTCTCCTCCAGGTCTTTCCCTCTCCACCAGGGCTCAATAAGTGGGATTGAAATAAACAGGAGGCTTTTTGTCCTTTTTAGTGCCTTTATTAAAAGTGATCAGCTCAAGGATGGGAGGCTCGGCGGATCCTTGGCCTCTGCTGTGTTCCTCCCAAGGTAACTTGGAGGAGGAGGATTGTGCAGCTTTGTCCACTAAAGGGCAGAACTGGGGGGTCCCATGCTCATGAAAGCAGTGAGCATAACCCCGTGTTTTCTTCAACTTTTGGGTTTTGCAGTCTCAGCGTTCCAGATGAGGTCTTTGCTCAGGGCGAGGGGCAACACAAGTTTTCAGCATCTCTGCAGGCTCGGTACTTTGTTCTTCACGTCCAGACATCACTCTGATCTCTTAATTCTGTGTTGGCTCGTTGTTTTTGGGGTCCTTTCGATAAGTTTGGCGGGGTAGCCTCCCATGGCATGCTGGTCTTGAGGTTATTTTGCATTTTCTGATGTCCCCCTCCTCTCACCGTCTGGGGAGAAGGGCCATCAACCTAGCCACAGACAGGGCCATACTGATACAAAAGGAGCAAATAACAAAAACGACCGGTGATTACAATAACAAACAGGTAGAACTTCACCTTGGCAGCGACTGGTTCAACTGGTTTCACTCTGCAACCCCCCTTCCCCCCCCCCCCCTAAAAAAAAAAGGCAGATTTTTTACTTATAACAGGATGAGCGTTCCATGCGGGGAAATTCCCATTGCTGCCCCGGGAAAGCGGCTCCTTGGGCAAAGCTCATCCCTGAAATGCTTGGAGAAGACGGGAGGAGCCCCCCCCCCAGCATCTGGAGAGACCCCAATCCCTGCTGCTCCCGCATCCCAGTCATTAGTCACGGCATGCCATTAATTAATTAATTAATTAATTAATTATCCCCAGAAGCGGGGGCAGCCCTAATTGCAGCCTCGCTTTGTTTGGGCTGGTGTCTCTGCCCCGATCGCGGGAACAAAAGGCGGCAGCAGATCGGGACAAGCGATGCCACAAAGGAAGGAGCAGGGGATGCAGAGAGGATCCTGCGCGCTCCGAGAGTTGGGATTCTCCCTGCAAATCCATCTTCCCCCTTCTCCGGCTCACGAGATTTGGCAGAAAGCTCCGGGGTTTCGCTCTGCCCGGGTGATGGAGGGCTAATTGGATGCAGATTAAAAGTCACTATTAGGGATAATCCCTGCGCGGGGAGCATCCCTCCCTCAGCTCCGGGGCTCTTTGTATTTCCCCCACCCCCCGAAAAAAAAAAAAAAAAAAAAAAAAAATTAGAGAATGAAAAAAAAAAAAAAAAACCAGTTGGAAGCGCAGGATGAGCTGGGGGAAGGGAGATGGGATGGGAAAAAGCTGGGAAGAAATAATTGCCATGTCTGAAAACAGTTACTATGGCAGCGACAGTCTTCGCGCCGCCTGAGCGAAATGTTGGGGACCGGCAGCGGTGCCTTTGTCACATCCTCAGACACACATTTAGATGCTAATGCCGCCTTTAACCTTGGCTGCTTAACCTTGATAGGAGGGGAAGGGCGGCCACGGGGGGAGAAAAAGCAGCGAGAGGCGGGGAAAGATGGGTTTCCTCTGCCTAAATTTGCCACCGAATGCACTTGGCAGGCTCCTCTGAGCTGCGATTAACGCTGTTATTTCTGCGCTTGATATTCCGCGGAGGTTTTACCAGCTTATTTATGGATAGCTGGCATTAGCAGCAGCATAATTCACCGCTCCCGTTTATCTCCGTCCCCTCGGGATTGTCTCATCTGGGGCCGCTTTGGAGAACACTCCCAGGTCTGATCGGCCTGGCTGGCAAATCTCGCCTTTATTTAGAAACGCCGTGAAAAAAATAAAAAAAAAATAAAAAAAAGGAGGGGTGGGCAGGAGGGAAGAGTCCCCTTTAGACTTTGGATGGCGGGGAAAGGAATTTTGGGCTTTTCTTGAGGCTCCAAGCTGTGTCCAGCAGCGGGATGGAGAGGGGGGATTCCCTGGCTGGAGCAGCATCTCCTGCGCTCCCGGGCCGAAGGTGAATTCCTAAATCCCAGCCCTACTGCACACAGATGAGCCACCGATTCCGGGAGCGGCCCGGGATGCCCTCGCTCCGGGATTATCCTGAACTGCAGCCTTTAAGGAAGCTTTGGCTGGAGCGATTCGGGCGGAGGAGATGAGAGCAGAGCCGGTGCAGGATCTGCCGCTCACAAATATGACCCTATTCTTCTATTTCTGGCATTTTTAAAAATTATTCTTTAAAGCTCCGGTGTGACGGTGTTCACAGGGGTTCTTGGATGAGGGAAGAGACGAGGATCTGACTCCATGTTTCAGAAGGCTGATTTATTATTTTATGATATATATTACATTAAAACTATACTAAAAGAATAGAAGAAAAGGTTTCATCAGAAGGCTGGCTAAGAATAGAATAGAAAGAAATAATAACAAAGGTTTGTGGCTGGGACAGAGAGCCCGAGCCAGCTGTGCTGTGATTGGCCATTAATTAGAAACAACTCCATGAGACCAATCACAGATCCACCTGTTGCATTCCACAGCAGCAGATAACCATTGTTTACATTTTGTTCCTGAGGCTTCTCAGCTTCTCAGGAGGAAAGAATCCTAAGGAAAGGATTTTTCATGAAAAGATGTCTGCAACGCTCCAGCTCCTGGAGTCGGGTGATCGCTCACTGCTTTCTCCACGTGCTTTGGGATCCTCATTTCTTTGGCCTGGTGGTGGCAGACTAAAGCCTGAGCCCAGAGATCTGTCTAGGGCAGCCCTGCTGCACAAAATATTTCCATTTTCCAGCCCATCCAGTGCCTGTGCCTCGGCTTTGGATGGGCAGTGGTGCTTCACTCATGCCACGGAGTGTTTCTCACACCTGCACTGAGTTCCCTGCTCTTTTCCCGCTGTCACCACTCGGTGATTTCCACAAAACCGTGCCCAGTGTCACCTCTGAGGGCTGCAGGAGCAAGCTGCCTGTATTTTTAATGATGTCGTGTGTTAATAGGGAGCCTTATCTCCACACAAAGCCTCCACACGCATCCTCGGGATGAAATATGAGTGTGAGGAACGATCCCACTCCAGCCCGACAAATCCTCACCGCACACTGAGGGGTGAAAGCATCCTAAATTAAAAGCAATATCTGTCTTGTGCAGTGCTCTTCTTTCTCTGGGGCCTTTTGGCTGAGCTGTCACATAGAGTCGATATTTATTTTACAGAGGCTGTAAAAGAGGCAATGGGTAATACTGCAGCACCCAGAGCAGAAATAAAGACAAGAGCTCTGGCTCAGGTGCTGGCAAAAAGCTGGGATTGCCTGGAACTGTTCAAGGTCAGGCTGGATGGGGCTTGGAGCAACCTGCGGTAGTGCAAGGTGTCCCTGCCCGTGGCAGGGGGCTGGAACTGGGTCTTTAGTTGGAAGTAGATCTTTAAGGTCCCTTCTGTGAGTAGCTGGGGCAGAAGTTCTGTGGCTCAGCTATCCAGAAACCTCAGGAGCTTTATCAGGGGTTGAGGTGTGGGAACTCTGCACATCCCTTCGGATGTCCAGAGATGCTGAGGACCTTGTCAGGGGGCTCAGAGACCCTGGCACTCTGCCCAGAACACCTGGAGACTTGATTTTGACCCTTCCAACGAGTTGCCAGTTTTGTATGAGGAGGTGAAAGTCACAAAGGTTTGAATGGTGTAACAATAAAATATCCACAGGGTGAAAATGTAGGTTTCAGGATTTTTGGTATAGGGGTTATAGGGAAAAGATGGAGGAATCAGGGCGTGTCTAGTCCTTCTTCTTTCTTCTTCTTGTTCTCCATTTTCTGCTGTGATGATGGCACTTGGGGATTGGTTTAGAGTAGAAGTGCACTGTCTAACATAGGTGATAGGTGTTGGGAATTAAGTGTAAATATGTTATATGTAGTTTGTAGTATAAAAGGACACCACAGAGTCCCTGTGGCTGGCCTGCTGAGCAGATCTCGGCTGGGCAGAAAGAAAATTTTATAGAAAAGAATTAATAAACAACCTCAAGACCGAAAAGTGAAGAGTCCAGACTCGTTCTTCAGCTGTGCGGGCTGAAGCAGAGACATCCTGCACATCTCGGGGCAGGGAATAGAACAGCCGACCCCAGATTGAGGCACTCACAACCTCTGCAGAATACGAGACCCAAAAGGCATTAACAGTGGAGATCAACATTAGTGCCAGCCCTGCCCGGGATCCAGCACAGGTGAGGTTTTCCCCCCCTGTGGCACTCTCTGTGACAGCTGCAGGGGACACAGATGCTCCACATTGCTCTGCTGCTTTCCAGCTCGAATCATCACTGGTGTCCCTGAAAAAGAGCTGTAGTTTTTGTGTTACAAAAACTGGTGCCAGCCCCCGGTGTCCCACGTGCAAGGAACGATACCAGAATGGTTTGGCGTGGAAAGAACATGTTAAAAATCTCTCATCCCACCCCCTGCTATGGGCAGGGACACCTTCCACTCTCCCAGGCTGCTCCAAGCCATGTCCAGCCTGGCCTTGGGCACTGCCAGGGGTGGAGCAGCCCCACCTTGGCTTGGTTACTCTTTTTAAGGGAGTTGTTTCTACTGCTTGCTGCCGTCGCTCACAACGACAAACATAAGGACAACCAAGCCTCCAGCACGGGGGGATGGCTGTCCCCGAGGAGCAGGAGCTCGGGCAGGGCCAGAAGAGCTCGGGCATGGCCGGGAGAGCTCGGGCACCCCCAGGTGAGCTCGGGCAGGGCCAGGAGAGCTCGGGCACTCTCAGGTGAGCTCGGGCAGGGCCAGGAGAGCTCGGGCAGGTCCAGGTGAGCTCGGGCACCCCCAGGTGAGTTCGGGCACTCCCAGGTGAGCTCGGGCAGGGCCAGGTGAAGCTCGGGCAGGGGCGGTGCGGGCAGGGGCGGTGCGGGCAGGGCGCGGGGCGGAGCGGGAGGAAGGCGGCGGCGCAGCCCCTCCTCCTGCTGCTCTCCTCCTCTTTCTCTTCCTCCTCCTCCTTTCCCTCCTCCTCCTCCTCCTCCTCCTGCCGGGCGGGGCGAGGCTCGGCAGTCCCGGCGCGCTGCCGCCGCGTGGAGCCGCGCTGCGTGTTCCCGATCCCATATCCCCGATCCCACATCCCACACCCCACATCCCCGATCCCGTACCCCACATCCCCGGCCCCGGCTGGCTCCGAGCCGCCCCGAGCCGTGCCCCCGCTGCGGGCGCGGCGATGGGCGCGGGGCTGTGAGCGCGGCCGGGAGCCGTGGCCATGGGGAACATCTCGTCCAACATCTCCGCCTTCCAGTCCCTGCACATCGTCATGCTGGGCCTGGACTCGGCGGGCAAGACCACGGTGCTCTACCGCCTCAAGTTCAACGAGTTCGTCAACACCGTGCCCACCATCGGCTTCAACACGGAGAAGATCCGGCTCAGCAACGGGACGGCCAAGGGCATCAGCTGCCACTTCTGGGACGTGGGCGGCCAGGAGAAGCTGCGCCCGCTCTGGAAGTCCTACAGCCGCTGCACCGATGGCATCATCTACGTGGTGGACTCAGTGGACGTGGACCGGCTGGAGGAGGCCAAGACGGAGCTGCACAAGGTGACCAAGTTCGCCGAGAACCAGGGCACGCCGCTGCTGGTCATCGCCAACAAGCAGGACCTGCCCAAGTCGCTGCCCGTGGCCGAGATCGAGAAGCAGCTGGCCCTGCACGAGCTGACCCCTTCCACCACCTACCACATCCAGCCCGCCTGCGCCATCATCGGCGAGGGGCTCACGGAGGGCATGGACAAGCTCTACGAGATGATCCTCAAGCGCAGGAAGTCCCTCAAGCAGAAGAAGAAGCGGTAGAAGCCCCAGCCGAGGCGGGGAGGGATGGGGGAGCAGACAAAGGAACCGAGGGGGAGACAGAACCAAAGCGATTCTTTTGGGTTTAATCGTTCTTTTTTTTTTAAATTTTTTTTTTCTCCTCCCCTTCTTCATTTTTTCCCCCCCGCTTCCTTCCCCAAAGGACAGACAATAGTGGTGATAACAAAGCGGCTCCCGCCAGCCGAGCCCAGATCCCGGAGCTCCCCTCTCCCGTGCTCCTGAGGCTCTGATCCGGACTCCCTTGGGCTGGAAACATGGAAAACCGGGATGGATCCCCCCGGGATGAATGAATCCCCCCACTCTCTGCATCTCCGGGACCGCCGCCGAGCCTTTGTGTGCCGGGGAACCAGCGGGGCAGGACCCTGCTGCTGGAGCGCGTTCGAGCGGAGCCCAGCGTGCTTCTGGATCTCTAACGGGGGATTTGGGGGTGTCGGTGCCAGCCCCCCCCACACGCATTTTGGGGCGGGGGGTGAGGATGAACTCGGCAAGGTCAGCGGGGAGGGGGCGTGCAGCCCTCATCCCTGCATCCCCGCATCCCTGGATCCATCCATGGGAAGGGGTGTTGGAAGCTTGGATGGGGGGTGTTTGGACCAGCAGAAAATGTCTTGGAGAGGGTGGGTGTGATGGGTAAGGGGACACGCACCCACCCTGGTTGGTGTTTTAGGGTGCAGAGCAAGGACGGGCAGCCTTTGGCTTGGCGGGGAGGATGCGACACTGGGGTGCCGAGCGGCTGCTGAATGGTGCAGAGCGCTGTTGGCTCAAAAAAAAAGGATGGAAAAAGGACCCGAGGGTTTGGGGTGAGCGCTGCTGGGAGCCTTTTTGGGGGGCTGTGCAGGACCCCCGTTTCTCAGAGGCTCGGCGCTGTCGCCTTCTGCAGCAGAGCCCCCGCAGGTGGGCATTGTCCAAGTGCTCAGGTGCGGCTTTGGAGGCGATCCAAACCAGGGGTTACTTAGCAAAACCCCCCAAAAAAGGGCAAAATTCGGGGTTCTGCCCGCTGTGCTGCTCTGCAGTGGGGCGGGAGGCCAAGTCAGGGAGGGTCATGGCAGGGCAGGATGGATGGATGGACGGACAGACAGACAGAGCCTGCAAAAAATCTCTCTCTGCTGGAAAGGGAAGATGGCAGGGGGGTGTAGAGGCATGGGAGGGGGTTTTGTGGTAGGTTTATAATAAAGATTCAAACCCGATTTAAAGCCCCCAGCAGCCACGGGGGCAAGCTGTGCCTGCTGTGCAAGCTGTGCCTTGGCCCCTCCTGCAGGTGAACATTTCATACCTGCACGGGGCTGGGCACCAAAACCCACTCAAAATCCTGTGGATCCACAAAATCCTGTGGATTTCAGGGTCCTGGCTTCCCACAGAGCTGGAGCAGGCAGCCCTCGGGGGCCAAATGTGCTGGATTTGGAGGCAAGGCAGGATTTTCTGGTGATTTTACACCAGAGCAGCCAAGGGGAAAGCGCCAGGCAGACAAAAGCCCTTCGGGTTCAGGGGTGTTGATCCTCCCCAAGCAGCATTTTTGGGGGGTGGGGAGGGGGGGTTTGTTAGGGAAGAAATGTTGCAGCAGGAGTTGTTTCTTCTCCTCTTGTGGGGTTTGAGTCGCCGATGCGTGTGGGCTGGCCCCATCCCTTCAGGTGGCTCTCTTCCCCCTCCCTCGGCTTTCCCTGCTTTGTCCTCACCTCCAACACTTTGGTACTTGCTGTCGAGAGAGAGAGAGAGAAAGGACAAAAAAAAAAAAAGAAAAAAATTATTTATTTTTGATGCCACAGAAGCCACGTGTGTGAACCCGTTTTTTGGCAGAAACGTCGAAGCTGTGTTGACCCCAGCAGCTCCAGGGCCAGCAGGTTGTAGGAATGACACGGTGGTGGTGGGCTTTTTTTTTACCTCCTGGTTTAGCAGATGGAAAAAGGCTGGTTTTTTTTATGGAGCTGGCTCCTTCCTGGGAGCCTGTGTTCCACCCAGGAACAGCTGAGCATCCCCTTGGAGAGATGGCAGAGGGCTGGGAGGCTCGGGTGGGACGCCGTGCCCGCGCCCTTGCCGGCCGCTCCGCTTCCTGCAATAATTAAAAAGACTTTTCCAACGAGCAGCTCCTGGCTTCCGTGGTGTTTCCATCATGTTCCCCCCTGTGTGAAGGTGAGCATCACCCTCTGTGGGCTGCAGGAATTGGGGCCCCAGCAGGGCAGCCCCCAAGGGGAGCTGTCTGGGCTCTGTGCATCCTCTCAGATTCTGGATGACCTGGGTGTTTTGGCAGGTCTCACTCCCCCAGGTCCATCATTCCCTGTGTGTTCCCATCCATGATATCCCACGTCCTGCCCTTGCCATTGTCCATCAGTCTCTTGTCTTCCTTTTTGTTCTTTCTTTTTTTTTTTTTTTTTTTTTAAAGATGCAAACATAACGCTGTGAACCGAAATAAATTATTTATACAATGAAAGGGCCTGATAAAAAAAAAAAAAAACCACAACAGCAAAAAAAAACCAACCAAAACCCAGTGTTCTGCTCATTTCTCAGTATCAGTGCTGTGTTTGGTGTGTGGTTTGAAGGAGAGGAGACAAGGGGACAGAGAAGTGACCTGCTGAGGATCCAGTGTCACATGGCAGCCTGCTAGGACATGGGGGACATCCATAATTTGCTGGTTAATGAAATCTGAGCTCTTTGGCAGGTCACTTAATGTCTCTGCATCTCTGCTGCTGCCTGTGAGAGAGGAGGAGGAGGAGGATACTTTTTGGTGGTGAAGGGAGGGAGGGGGGGGATTTTGTTCCACCACCTCCTCTGATGTGAAATCCGTGTCAGAGAAACGTGGATTTTAACTCCACGCAGAGAGAAAGTTCCCGTTTTTGCTCATTGTGGCTTTTTTTTTTTTGAACGGGTGGTGGCCTCGGTGGCAGAGAGCCAGGTCTGCAGGGGTTAAAGCAGCACTTGGGAACAGGATGCTGCAGACAGAGCTCCAGGCTGCCTCTGCTCCTGGGTGGCTGCTGACACAGGAAACCCAGCGTGACATTTCGGGGGGGGAGAGCGGTGGAGCTGGGTGGCAAGCGACTTTCTTTTTTTTTTATTTATTTTTAAATTTTTTTAATTATTTTTTTTTTAATGATGACGAGGCAGCCAGAGGGGAAACGATGAGCCTGACTTGTGAAAGTGAGATGGGGAAGGGCTCGGGGTGTTCTCACCCTGCCTGAGGTTTGTGGGGTGAGGGGAATGCGGTGTCTGCTCTGCAGGATCAGCACTGGGGGCTCTGAGGGGTGACAGGGCACGGCTGGAGCTGTGCCAGGGGATGTTTAGGCTGGATTTTAGGAAAAGGTTCTTCCCCCAGAGGGTGCTGGGCAGTGCCCAGGCTCCCCAGGGAATGGGGAGGCTGCCAGAGCCCAAGGAACATTTGGATAGTGATCCCAAGGATGCCCAGGGTGGGATTGTTGGGGTGTCTGTGCAGGGCCAGGGGTTGGACTCTGATCCTTGTGGGTCCCTTCCAGCTCAGGAGATTCCATGGTTCTCTGAGCCCAAAGGCTCATCCAGAGCTGCTGAGCTGCTGTCCAGGCTCAGAAATCCCTCGGAGCTGATCTGGACCGCGGCATTCCAGGATTTTTCGAGTTGTGCATTGCTCAGCTGCCCCCCGACCCTGCAGAGAGCCTCTGGAAGGTGCTGTGCTCCCCACGGGCTCCCTCCTCACCCATGATGGGCTCCTGTCCCTCTGCCACACATCCCAGTGCTCCTGGAGATGCTCCTGCCCATCTGCTGCCCCCTTTTCCATGGGACACCGTGTGCTCCTCCTGCTTTCATGGACCTGAAAGCCCGGCAGTGCCCACACCTTCCTTAGCCTGAAGGGATTTGTCCTTACTGATCCTACCTGGCAGAAGCTGAATTTTGGGCGTTTTCCAGCTGATTTTTGGGCGTTTTCCAGCTGGCCTGGAGGTGTGGGCACTGACATTGTGTCCCTGGGCTCATCTGTGAGCCAGGGGAGCTGGACTTTGGTCCTTTGGGCACCACATGGAGCTGGGGGAGGTTTAAAGGGGGAAAATAAAATGGTTTAGTTGTAATAAAATAAAAACGGTAATATAATTACAGCAATAATAGTCTGGACAATTAGGATTTAGGACAATACGAGACAATAAAAACAAAGAGTAAAGGATGGTCTGGGTACCTTTTCTGGGCAAAATAAGCCTGAAAAAGGACCCACGTTAACAGAGGATTAACCCTTAAAAGCAACAGCCTGTTGCACTTTCATACACCTCATACATGGTGCATAAATTCCATTCAAACACAGGATTCTGTCTGGTCAGCGTCAGCTTCTTCCTCTGAATCCTGACAGCATCTTCAGGGCTGAGCAAGGTGGGAAGAAGTTAGTTTCTCCTGATAATGGAGCAATAAATTCTCTTTCTCGGAAAGATTCAGGTGTTCGGTGGCTGCTCTCTGGTGCAAGTCCTTTATTTATAAAAAAGCATCTTATATAGCATAGTTTCTATTTTAACCTTATGAAAATGCATGTATTCTATGATTGGCTTTTCGCAAATATTAAAATGAATATTATATGTGTTGTGTTAGGAAGTAATGCTGTGTTAATTCTCTTAAGTAGTGTGTTAAATATAGTTTTAGGTTATAAAAATTGTTAAAATAGAAACGATGCTATGTGAGATGCTTTCTGTAAAGAAAGGACTCGTGAGATAGCAGCCACAGGACACCTGAATCTTTCAGAGAAAGAGAATTTATTGCTCTTTTATCAGAAGAAATGAACTTCTTCCCTCCTCAAAGGTGCTGTTAGGATTCGGAGGAAGAAGTTGATGCTGACCAGACAGAATCCTGTGTTTGAATGGAATTTATGCACCATGTATGAGGTGTATGAATATGCAACAGGTTGTTGTTTTTAAGGGTTAATCCTTTGTAAACATGTGTCCTTTCTAGGGCTTGGGCTGCCCAGAAAAAGGTACCCAGAAGTCCGTAACTCTTTGTATTTCTTGTCTCATATTGTCCTAATTCAAATTGTCCAAATTATTATTACTCTAATTGTGTCACTATTTTTACAACAATTTTATTACTATTAAACTTCTAAAGTTATAAAAACAAGTGATTGGCATTTTTCACACTCCTCCTCCTTCCTGGCATCTCCTCCAGCCTGGGAGCCCCTGTGCTGCAGGTTCTGCCTTGCCCTGTGCCAGCCCCACATCTCCTTCTGCCTCTCCTCGCTGGCTTTGCCTCGTTAAGCCAAATCCCTCTGCTTTATTTCAAATGGGATTTGCTCCCCAAGCAAGGATCTTAAAAAGGATCATCCTGGTTAATGCAATCCGGAGGGCGCTGGGTACTTGGAGCGCGGAGCAGGGCACTGGCAGCTACAGCACAGCACCTCCAGGAGCCTCTGGCCAAATTTTGGGGGGTGGTTGAGGATGACCACCTGTGACGGCGTTCACAGGGGTTCTTGGATGAGGGAGGAGATGAGGATCTGACTCCATGTTTCAGAAGGCTCGATTTATTATTTTATGATATATATTACATTAAAACTACACTAAAAGAATAGAAGAAAAGGTTTCATCAGAAGGGTAGCTAAGAATAGAAAAGAAGGAATGATAACAAAGG